CCATTTTCGTGTTGAAAGTATTTACGCTATGGTAATGTAGGGACGTAGATGATCAACAAAAATAATAAGTCATTACTTTTATTATTTAATATTATATAAATAATTATATTTATTTGTTTATTTATCTATTATTATTTATTATTATTCTTACTTTTTAGAAATATTATAATGGAAAAGTATAAAACAAAGTAATGTAAATTTTTTATGAAAATATTATTAAACATAATTTTTGTCATAAAATTGGATCTTTTTTATGAAAAAAGTCCTTTTTCTGAAACACGGAGGTACTCAGAATTTATTTCCAATTATGAAAACCATTTTTGTCTTGAGAAAACGACGTTGATGTTTGCAATTTTTTTCTAACAATTTTTGAAGTAGATTATTAAATTTTCGTCTTTTTTCAATACATTGCAGCTTTTTTTTTATTAAAAAAGGGCATTTTTTGACATTTATTTTTCTAAATAATTTCTTATCATAATTTTTATTGTTGAAAAATAGAAATACAGAAAAATTAAGATTAAATTTTGATCAGAAACTAAATAAGTAAACAAATAATTTTCCATATAGAAAAATTGAATAACAATGTTATTTTTAGAATTTTCAGTTTAAAAACAAAGATTTTTTTCAAAACAATACTTCTATAGGTAATTATGAAAATCATCGATTTCATTTGGAATTCTTTTCATGGATTTAAAAACATATTTTCTACCAAATTACGCGTGTGTTTCGAAATCCACCAATTTTTAAGAAAAATGATAATTGAAAAAGGGTCAAAATATTTTCTGTCCGCTTTTATTTTATGACCGTTGAATTCCTTATAAAAAATTACTTTAAAACTAATTTTGTGGAATATTTAAATTAGATTTTTCATATACTTAAAAATATCAATAATAAAAATAACAATAAAAAATTTTTAAAATTATACATTTCATAATTTTTTATTATTTACTTTTTTTTTGTTTAGAAATTTTATTTGTTTAATAATTTTTTCATAAAAAATTTTCTTTTAGGGTGCAGTCCCATGGCACCGTTTTGCGTTGCGTTTTGTAACTAGGCCATGAGTGTGAGAGAGATAAAGATATAGGTTCGCTATATTTGCACTCATTGCCTAGTTACAAAACGCAACGCAAAACGCTGTCATGGGACTCCAGCCTTATTGTTTTAATACTTCTCCATAATAATATTTTTAAAAAGTAAGTAAAATAATAAATAATAATAGATATAATAACAATAATAAATAAATAATAAATGTAATGGTAAACAATGAGAGTATAATTGACATTTAATATTTTTGTTCCTCACGTTCATTTCTACTGTACTACGCAAACGGTGCAACCTGATATAGTCGGCCATGGCTAACCTCCCATATTGAGCTGTCAGTTTGCTATGTTTTGGAAAACGCGGATTGATATTCACGCCCATAGAAACATCTAATCGTCATAAGAAAACTTGTTGAATATTCTCTATTAAATATTATTTTTCCCTAAATCGCCCTTTTTTTCATTTTCAATCTGGATTTTTTTTAATTAATTATCAAAGTCAAAAAATTTCACCAAGAGGGACGAAAAGAGTGGAAGTTGAGGAGAAATCGCTCGCTACGCCTATGCGTATTCCCACCGTGCAGCGTCCATTATTTATTTTTGCATTTAAATTATTGAATTATCAAATAAAAATTTATTTCAAAATGAATTTCAGTTAAAGTTTTACATAATAATTGATTATTAAAAGCATTATAGCATGAATTTTAAGAAATAATTAAATTTTAAAATGGTTTCAAATCAAATTCTTTCAAAATTTGTATTTTTCATACTTATAACTAACAATTCTGTAGAATTAATTATATTAAAAAAGTTTAATTGAATTTTATCCTGAAATTATTTGAAGTGTTTATTTTTTAATTCGTATTTAATTGAAGAATTTCTGAATAATTTAAATTTCGTAAAATTGATTTGTAAACAAATGGATTTTAAAATTCTCAAAGAACTTTTTTCAAAAATTATTAAAAATAATTTATTCCTGTAAGAAAATAATAATGATTAAAATTTATTTGGAAAAGAAGTTATTGATGTTTTTTTTAAACAATTTCAGAAATTGGTAAATAAATGTAATAGAACAATTTTTGAGTGTCTAATCATTTTTAGAGTGTATCAGAATTTTCTTTAGGGTTAGGGAAGAAGTCAAAATTTTGGCAAGTAATTAAGTTTTTCATATGAAAAAAAGAAAATATTTTGCAAGATTTATTTTTTAGAAATAAAGAAAATAATGAATAATATAATAACATTAATAATTGTTTTTAAATTAATAAAAATATTTTTGAATTATTTGAAAAATAAAAATAATATTAATTATAATATTATATATTATATATTATTATATTATATTATTATATTATAATAACATTAATAATTTTTTTAAATTAATAAAAATATTTTTGAATTATTTGAGAAATAAAAATAATATTATTAAATTAAAAATTTAGTCAAAAAATAATGACGTATAATATTATCTATCAGAACTAGCACAAATAACGCGCGCTAAAGTGCGCGTTAAGTTTCTTGTTTCACTTTTAACATATATATATAACAATAATGTAATTTTTACATTACATGTCACATGAAAATTAATGAAAGCGTGAATGCCAATGAGACGATAAAGAAAAATATGTTCATTACATTATTTTTGACTTATTAATTATCAAAAATAAATTACATTTAATTACAATTAATTATTTATTTGTTATTTTGTTTCTAATAGTTTTCTAGTCAAAATTAATTAATATTATATTCAGGGAAATCAGGAAAAAGTCAGAAAATGTTGTCAAAAGTGCTGGAATAATATTCAATTTCAAGAATTCATAAGAAAATTCTGAATGTTATTCTTCAGCATTGAAAAGATTTTATATATTTCAAACTCTTCCTGTTTTTAACAATAATTAGACTTTACAGATTTAAAATTAATTTTCTTAAATAATTTAATTTTTGAAAAACTATCGAGAAAAAATTATTTTTTATTAATTATTTTGGAATAATTTTTTATTTAAAAATTAAAAAAATAATTGAAATTTATGAAATTTGTATTTAAAATTTTTTTATAAATCCTATTTATTCCTATTTAAAAAAGAACATGAATGTCACATGTCACATATGTCATATGTCACATATGTCGTACATGAAGTATGTCACATGTCACATGTCACATGTCACATATGTCACAAATGTCACATATGTCGTACGTGAACTAAGTCACATGTCACGTGTGTCACACATGATGTATGTAAAGTACGTCACATGTCATGTGTGTCACATATGTCGTACGTGAAGTACGTCACATGTCACGTGTGTCACACATGACGTATGTAAAATATTTTTGAGGTAGGTTTTGCCGTTAGTAATATTTAGAAAAAAAATTTAAAAAAAAATTTTTTTTTTTAAATAAGGAATAAGGAATAATAATACGAGTAGTATCTAGAAAACAAAATTTTTTTTAAAATAAGGATAAGGAATAATAATACTAAAATATTAGGTCCTACGCAGTTTTTGAGTAGAAAATTTTTAAAGTTAATTTTTTTTTAAATAAGGAATAAGGAATAATAATACGAGTAGTATCTAGAAAACAAAATTTTTTTTAAAATAAGGATAAGGAATAATAATACTAAAATATTAGGTCCTACGCAGTTTTTGAGTAGAAAATTTTTAAAGTTAATTTTATAACATATATATAATTATATTATATTTATAATAAATATAACATAAATAATATAACATAATTCATCATATTGACGAAGCATTATTTAGCGGGTTAGTATAAGTCACATAATTTATTTTTGATTATGAATTTACAGAATATATAAAATAATTGTTAATATTTTATTTTTATTGATGAAGGAATTAATTAAGGGAATTAAAAATATATATAATAAAAATTGTCTTTTCAGAAATTTGACAGGTTACATTGATGTATTCGAAAGAAGACGTAGAATAGGAAGAAATTATGAAGTTATGTTATTTGTTATAAATAATAATTGGGGAAGAATTCGTGTCCAAGTAAAAGTATTTAGGAGAGAAATTGATCGTTTTGAACCTCATGTGGAACTTAATAATGTACGTAAACGTATATTATTTAATAAATAGTTTATAATTTTTAAAAGAGAAATTTTTAATTAAAAATATTTTTTAATAATAAAAAAATACTTTGAAAACTAATGTTAATTAAAATTTTTTAAATTACTTTAGAATTATTTTTATTAGATATTATATTTATATATTAATTAATTATATATAATTATATATATTTATTATTACATTTATTATAAAAATAGAATTTAATTTATCTATTAAAATATTCATATTAATATTTATATATATTATATATATATATATATATATATATATATATTTTTATATTTATAGATTGTTGAACTGCAACATGCGACAGTCAGACAAATTTCACATCCTCGATTTAATAGAGGTACAGAAGATATTGAATTAATTATTAACCGTAAAACGACTATATCCGTGATTGGTGCAGTTTTTTTATAAATTAAATTATTTTCACATTAGTTATTACATGGTTATTATAATGTAATAAATATAATTATTAAAAATAAAATTAATTAATTATTTTTTAATAAATATCCAAATTGTTTATTCTTAAAATAAAAATTTATTAATTTAAACATTAAAATAAAATTAAAGTTTAAATTACTTCTTGATTATTTACATTATGAAATTATATTTAATCGTTTCTATTTATCTATTTTTTATTAACTTTCTATTTTATTTGTTAATAAAAATTAGTTAAAAATTAAAAATAATTTATTTAATTATTAACTTTTGAAAAATTTTTATTTTTATTATTAATTTAATATTTAATTAAAAAGTTTATTAATTCAAAAGATTAAAAAGAAATCATTTTGTTATTCTATTTTTTTATTGTTTAATACTATGTTACTATGGCACCGTGTTTTATTTAAAAATACAAAACAATTTTTCATTAAATGACATAACTTCACACAAGCACATTTATAAAATAAATAATTTATATAATAATTGAGATTTTGAAAATGAGTTCAACTGAATTTGAATTTACTTCAGAAGAAGAAATCGGTGCATTTAATGATGGTGACAAATCGATGTAAGTTTTTTTTAATAAAAATCTTTTATGTTTTGAAATATATATTGTAAGAAAGACTTAACCAATAAAATTACAAACATCTAAATTTAAAGGTTTCTTCATATTTATAAACAATTAATATTAACAATTTCAATTACTAATAATAATTTAAATTTAGAATTAGTAAAAAAATTAATTTTCGAAAATAATAATATTTTTAATAATTTATTTATTTATTTACTAATACAAATAGAATAATTCAAAATTTTTTAATAAATTTAAGAAAAATTTAAATTTAGAATGATTAAAATTCAATTGGTTTATTTTCTAACAACGAAAATATTTTAATTTTATTTTTTATATTTATTTTTAGGGAGTTACTCGGATTTGTTGATGCAATTGACGGGTTAAAGGAATTGAAAACAAGCCAGAAGCATCTCTTCAAATTTGTTCTTAATAATAATTCTGGAGTAAGAATGCGAGTTTTAGTTTGGGTACATTGGAAGCTATGAATTACCAAGAGAAGATTCAGATGTATAAGGTATTATTATATGTTGAAAAAATAAAAGAAATTAAAATTAATTTTTTTAAATATTAAATAATTTAAAATAGTTAAAATAAAAATAGTAAAAATATAAGCTAAAATAAAAACGAAAATTAAAAAAATAATAATTTTTTAAAAGGTTATTCGTATAACTGGTGGCACTGTGAAAATGTCAAACCCAAATTTTAGAGTTTCTAAAGAAAATGTCAACTTTCTGGAATTTCATGTTCAAAGTTACAGTACAATGGAGATTTTGGGTAACTTCCTAGGACATCGAGTTGAATTTAAAGAAACTTTTCGTTCAATTCTTTTTGATGAAGTTATGATCATTGAAGGAGATGTTGGTAAATTAATTGTAATACAATATATTTATAATAATATTAATAAATATCAAATAATATATAAAAAAGTTTAATAAATATAAATAAAAAAATAAATATATAAATAAGTTGAATAAATAAATAAATATAAAAAAAAGATAAATAAATTAATAATTTATAAAATAATAATGATAATATATTTCTCATTATTTTAGAAACAGAAGGATATTTAAAAGTTCCTTTCGTGGAAGTTACAACTCCCAATTCAAAGTATGCTCAAGGGATTATTGTAGACGGGTTTTATAGATTAACGGTTCAAATCGCTTTATTTATGATAAATGACAAATTTGTTAAAGGAGCTCACTTACGTCTACGTGGAGAAATGAATAAAGAAGGTTAGTGTTTAATATGATTATAATAACTTAAAAAAATAAATAAAAAATGTTAAACATAATAACTTATTAAAAATAATATAAATTAAAATTTAATAATATATGTATTTACATATATTTATATATAGATTTTAAAATAATGTATATAATTAATTTTACTAATAGAAAAGTAATAACATTTACTTTTTTATAATTATTGTTTGTACTTTTTTAATAGCTGGATGTTTTAAAATTAAGGACATGGGATGTATTGATTTGTTCACCAATAATATAATGGCTGAAGATAAATTAAAAAGCTGCATACATTCCGTTACTTTAGTGAGAACAAAACGTCCAAGTTCATCTGCTTTGGAAGGAGAAAAGAATTCAAAAAAGAAATGCATCGAAAATGAAACAGAGAATTGAATTCAATTGCATATTTTGCAAATAATTTTTTTTTAAGTTTAGTTATTGAATGATTAATTCAATTAATTAGTTTATTATAAAATTTAAAATAAAAATAAAAGTAATTATTAAAATTATAGATGATAATAAATTTGTTTTTTTATTAAAATTTTTATTAAAATTATCATATATTATTAAAAGTTAAAAAAGTGGAAATTTATTTTAAAAAATTATTTAAAATACGCTTTATAATATTGCATATTATTTTGAATTTTGAAAATCAAGACGCACTTAAATTTAAAAATCAAATATAATTTTTTAATTTTTAATAAATTGTGAATTGTAATTTGTAATTAATTATAAAATGAACAAAAATTTTAAATATTTCGTCATTTTAATATAGATTTTAAAAAAATTAAAATTTAATTAACTAAAAAGTTATTTCTTTAATTCTATGAACCTATTTTGATTTGTAATTATATGTAATTAAAGTTTTAATTTATTATATATTTGAGTGATATTTAAAAATTTTTAATAATTTTTATGTAATATTTTTTTTTTGAATTTTTATTTAATATTATTTATTGTAATTTTATTTAATATTGTTTTTTTGAATTTTTATATAATATTATTTGTTTTGTAATAAAAATAATAGTCATAGAATTTTTTTTAATTTTTCACCATTTTTTATTTTCTGTAATGTGTGAAGTTAATTAATAAATAATGAACAATAGTATTATTGACATTTGAATGAAATATCTGCCAAAAGATAATGTACTAATAAAGACAACAAATAAAAAAATAATATTGTTTTACGCAAATATTATCGTCTTATTCGTATTTAAAGAATTTTTAGAATTGATGATTAATTTCTGTAAGTGTGATGTATTTGTTTTTTTAATTAAAATTTTTATTAAAATTATCATATATTATTAAAAGTTAGAAAAGTGGAAATTTATTCTATTGAATTATTTAAAATGCGCTTTATAATATTGCATATTATTTTAAATTTTGAATATCAAGATGCACTTGAATTTAAAAATCAAATATAATTTTTTAATTTTTCACCATTTTTTATTTTTTGTAATGTGTGAAGTTAATAAATAATGAACAATAGTATTATTGACATTTGAATGAAATATCTGTCAAAAGATAATATAATAATAAAAACAACAAATAAAAAATTATATTGTTTGAAGCAAATATTATCGTGTTATTCGTAAATAAAGAATTTTTAGAATTGATGATTAATTTCTGTAAGTGTGTGGTAATTAATATTTTATTACATATATTGGTGATTCTCCACAAGGTGATAACTTTTAATTATGGTAACGTTTTTCTAAAAATATTATGTTTTTAAATTCTATATATGTTGATATTTACGATAAAGCTTGAAAATAATTATTTTGTAAATTAATTATCTTTTATTAAATTAAATTATTAAATTTATCTTAAATTTATTTATTATTATTTATGTAATAATATAAATATAAATAGTATAAAAAAATAAAATATATTCTGAACAAGCTTATTAATCGACAATTAAGTAATATTACAAAATATTTAAACACTAAAAAATTTTTAACGATATGTAATATAAAAAAAAATTTTCAAATGAACATAAACAATTACATTGAAAAATAGCACATAATTTTTAAAACTCATTTCAAATGAAGTAAATATGCTTGCACTAAAAAAAATTTCTAATATTTATTTTATTATTCTTAATTACTTTAAATAATAAAACCTGTTATTGATATAACGTGTTTTGTTGCAGGTTAGTAATATTTTTTCATAAAAATAAAACATTTCTATTGCAGAATTGAAAGTAAGCACTGGAGTTTACAAATCAAAGAAAAAAATTTATTAAAGCCGTAAAAATGAATATAATTCAACAATCTTTGTAGAGTATTAAAAATATTTGCTTATACTTACTTTTTAAAGTGAAATTTTACATGAAAATGTAAACTTTAGTTAAAAAATAGTAGGAAAATATTAAAAATATTTTTATACAAATTTATTAATGAAAATTTATTTTTTGAAATCAATTTGTGAATAGAATAACTAAAAACAAGATTAATATATACTTTGTGTAAAATAAATGATATTAAACTTCATGATTCCTGTGTGGAGAATTGAGAAGAGTATATTTTTCGATAATTTTCAATTAAATCATAATTTTCGTTTTAAAATAAAAAGTTTTTTCGATTATAATATTACTAAAAAATATGGTGAATATAAATTGTAGAAAAGTTTGAAGCAGAATTAAAAATAATTGTTAAAGTTATTTAATATGGAATAGTGGGGAAGCAAAAGTTACATCTGAGTGAAGAATCACCATTTAAATTTAAATTAAATAAATATTTATTTATTAATGATTGTTTATTCTTTGCAGGACAGATTACGTGTTTATTGAAAATAAGCGAAATAATCGTTAATGTCGTGTGAGTATTATATATTTTGTAGTTTTTAAATGTAACAAATCTAATAATTAATTAATTAATTTATTAAATTATTTTTCAAATAAATAATATTTTAGGAAAAAATAAATTATTCATCATAAATTTCATCAAATATATAATCATAAATATCATCAAAAAAATATCATCAGATACCTAACTTCATATATCATCAGATACTTTACAATAAATATCATCAGATACCTAATTATATATATCATCAGATATTTTATTATATTTCATTAGAATAACTAAATATAAATTCCATTAATTCATAAAAATTAATAAAAATTAAATTTAATCAAATATATAATCAATTATTAAATCATAAATATTATAATTTTAATTTTAATATTAAATTTTAATATAAAAACAAAAAAAATTATTTTAAATAAGTTAGAGTTTTACTAAATTGAAAATGGAAAAATCGGAAGGAGAATGTTTTAAACAAAATGAAGAAGTACGTAAAAAAAGTAAACGAGAGTTTGATAAAGAAAGAATGCGATGTCATCGACAAAAAGTAAAAAATATGGAAATAAAAAAAAGAAAAATAAATACTGAGAGACAAAGAGCTTACCGTGAAAAAATAAAAAATGAAAAATTACTCAACAATCAAGTGTCAGAATTAAAAGAATCAGTTTCGAAATATTCAGAATTATCGAAAGATGTAGCTGATTCAGTTCATGAGAATCAATTGAAAACACAACAATCGAAAACGGAAGAAGTAGAATTTAAAATACAAAAAAGTACAAGGAATTTGGATAACCAAAGAGCTTTTTGTCAAAAAATTAAAAGTAAAGAATTTAATAGGCAAATATCAAAATCATCGGAAAATATTTCAAAATCAAAGAAAGTTTCCAGAGATGAAGCAAATAAAATAATCCAATCCACTTCTTATTGTGAATCTAATTTTCAAAATAGTGAAATTTATGATCATAATTCTCAAAATAAATGTTTAAAAATTAATGTAAATAATAGAAAAGTTCAACAATCAAATATCGAAGAAGAAGAAGAATTTAAAAAAATGAAACGTAAAAATGATGCTGATGGACAACGAGCATATCGTCAAAAAAGAAAAAATAAAGAATTTTTAATGGAATTACCTAAACAATCGGAAAATATTTTAGAATCTGTAGATATAACGCGAGATGAAGTTGTTTCGACGCAATCAAATATCCAATGTGAAACTATTTTAAAAAATACTGAAGTTTCTTGTGATCAAAATCAATCATTAAAATTAAATCTTAATAAACGAAAAGTTTTAAGATCTAAAGAAGAAGAAGAATTTAAAAAAAATAAACGTAAAAAGGATGCTGATCGACAACTAGCATATCGTCAAAATAGAAAAAATAAAGAATTTTTAATGGAATTACCTAAACAATCGGAAAATATTTTAGAATCTGTAGATATAACACGAGATGAAGTTGTTTCAACACAATCAAATATCCAATGTGAAACTATTTTAAAAAATACTGAAGTTTCATGTGATCAAAATCAATCATTAAAATTAAATCTTAATAAACGAAAAGTTTTAAGATCAAAAGAAGAAGAAGAAGAAGAATTTAAAAAAAATAAACGTAAAAAGGATGCTGATCGACAACGAGTATATCGTCAAAATAGAAAAAATAAAGAATTTTTAATGGAATTACCTAAACAATCGGAAAATATTTTAGAATCTGTAGATATAACACGAGATGAAGTTGTTTCAACGCAATCAAATATCCAATGTGAAACTATTTTAAAAAATAATGAAGTTCTTTGTGATCAAAATCAATGTTTAAACTTTAATCTTAACAGACCGAAAGTTTCAAGATCAAAAGAAGAAGAAGAAGAATTTATAAAAAATAAGCGTAAAAAAGATGCTGATCGACAACGAGAATATCGTAAAAAAAAAATAAATGTAGAAAATAGAACAGAAATTTTAAAAATAATAGAGCAAATTATAGAATCAATAGACGTGTCGAGAGAAGGTAATACTTTAGATATCGATGCTTTGAATATAAACAATTTTAATTATGAAAATCATTGTTGTAGTATTATTGTTAATGAATATACAAATAATTTAATAGATGTTCAAGAACATTATATTGGCTCAATGAATATTTTATGTCAACATTGTGGAGCAAGACATTTTTCAGCTGAAAGAGTGTCAAATAAACAAAATTCTTTTAATGATTGTTGCTCTCATGGTGAAGTAGTTTTAGAACCTTTACCTGAACCTCCAGTAATATTGAAAGAATTATTTTGTGGTACACATGACGAGTCTAAAAATTTTCATAAACGTATAAGATGTATAAATAATTCGTTTGCTTTCGCATCTTTTAATGCAAATTTAGTTAATTTCAGTAACAGAAGACCTGGACCATTTTGTTTTAAAATACATGGTCAAGTTTATTATCAAATTAATACTTCATTGTATCCTTCTGGTAATGATAATCCATCTTTTGGTCAGCTTTTCATTGTAGATCAAAACGAAGCTGTAAATCTAAGATGTCAACAAAGCGTAATGTTAAATCCAGAAATTATTGGTAACATACATCAGGCTTTACTTGATTGTAATAT